GTGTAGTTGCCAGTCGGCACTGACTGGCAGATGGAACTCGGAGGAGCACTAATCTATGAGATCTAATTGGTCGCAGGGAGGTAATTGGCAGGAGGCGGTCTCTCAGTTGGAACGTCATGGGTGGTGATTACAAATGCATGCGCTATGCGCGTGCACGTGATGGATGGTCAGCCCCATTGCAGTGTACTGGTTCCAACAGGAGCTGAAACCCATCACTGATACATACATATATACAAACAAACAAACAAAATTTGTTCACCTGGAATTTGTCATCCCTGGTTAATTTAGTCACTCACTTTTTGTGGTCTTTTTAAGAAGTTTATAATAAAGATAAAGGAAAATGGGAAAGAGAAAAAACTTTTGAATTAACTGGAAGAATGTCCAAAGTTTTGAATGTGACATAAGGAAATGACATCCCAAAATCCCACTTGAGGTGGTGGCACAGTGGTTAGACTGCTGTATTGTAAGCTAACTCTGTCTGCAGCCAGGAGTTCGATCCTGTCAGGGTCAACATTGACTCAGCCTTCCATCCTTCCGAGGTCAGTAAAATGAGGATGCAGATTGTTGGGGGCAATATGCTGACTCTGCAAGCTACTCAGAGACTGCTGTAAAGCACTATGAAGTGGTATATAAGTCTAAGTGCTAAATGCTACTGTATCTTCAGTAATAGTAAAATCTTGGGGGAAAGAGGCTAAAAATTAGATTGAAATTCATAGAAAAACAGCATCATCTCTGTTAGGTAAGCACCACTCCTGAATGGAATGGAAATGATCTATGAAGAAGCCAAAAAGAAAAGCCAAGCTTGAAATGGTGGGATTAGAAAGTACTAGGAAAAATAAATATTGGAAGATAGATTCAGAAAGAGAGCCTGTGCAAAAAATGCTGTGTTAAAAAAAAAAAAAAAAGACTGAAGCTCCTGCCAAGCATCAATGGGGCCTTGGTGTGCTTTTTGAGCTGTTTGTGACTTTAGTAAACAATGCCTTTAAAATCAACATGGGACAGCTGTGGATTTGTGCATGAAAGATTACTTGAATCCATTCCAGGAAAATTAGAAGCAAACAATGCAAGTTTAAACTCACAGAGAATGTGTGACAGGTGTATCATTTTCCGCTTTGCCTCCAACTATTAGAGAATTGCCTGACATAAGAAAATTATCCCTGAAGCATTGTAAAACAGTTGTTCATATGTTTGCTGAATTATCATATGAAAGGCATAAAATGTTTGGTTTTTTTGCCCGTAAATCGGCACACAACTCCTAACACAGCTGCCCTGTGATTCATCATGGAACATTTCTTTTTGCTAAAGTTCTATACTATACTACTACTATTCCATGTTCTATAGTATAAAACAACAACGCTATGCTCATTCTGTGCAATACTAGCATAGAATTCAGTCCCATATCAGATGAGAATATTGTCCGGCTGTGGAGCACTTTGGATTTAAAGGCAAAAAGTTGTTTCAGATTGTGTGTGCTGTGTTCTGCAGCTGTGACTGCACAAGAGAGTAATTTGGAGAACCCTGTGGGAAATTAGTCTTGGTTTTATTGGCAGCAGCCTCCTTCCACACTGCTTAGATTAATCTCAAGCAAGAATAGCTTGCAATTCAATTTGTATCAAAGGTGGCATTCAGGCAGTGGTGGGATTAAAATAATTTAATAATCTCTGTCCTAATGACCAGATAGGTGGGCATGGTTTGGTGGTCATGTGACTGGGTGGGCATGGCCAAATCAACGTCACTCATGTCGATGGGCGCTTCGCCTTAGCTGTTACAATGTAATAAGGCAGTTTCTGTAAGCAGGCCAATAAAGATTAGGCTAAAAACACCAGAATGTTTCCTTCCTGCTTTCCTTACAGGATTAGCCCTGTAAAGTGGTAAAAAACAAAATGAGATTTCTTCCAACAATTGGTTCTCCGAACTGCTTAGAAAGTTAACCACCGGTTCTCCTCAATAGGTGCGAACTGACTGAATCCCACCACTGGGTGCACGGCAGTGACGTGCGGTGAGGTTTATGGCTGGTGAGGCACTGACACAGGATTTTCAATTTTTTTTAGACTTGTGGACTTCAACTCCCAGAATTCCACAG